AGGGCTACAGCAAATTTTGGGGTGGCTGCTGTCCCCCACCCAATGCCGCCACCCCCTACCCCAAGCACAGCACGGCCCAGCTCCCCGCTGAGAGGAGCCTGGTCGCACCACTGGCCCCAGCCCACAGCAGCAGCCTGCCCTTATCCCACATGCACATCTGGGGGCCCAGGCCCCCTGGGAAGAGCCTGATGCAGGCCCCCAGCCCACACAGCAGCAAGGGACACAGCCCCCCTGTCCCATGCCCCGCACCCACTGACAGTTCCCTCTGCTTTGCTCCCTGCTGCAGCTGCCTCAGGAGTGGCCTGCAGCTGCTGGGCTATGCCACGCCCCTGCCCCTGCTCCTTCCCCTACACACTTACCTCACATATAAGGAATTTTGGATGTAAAAAGGGTCATTGCATAAGAGCGAATTTGCATATGCAGAACTCAGATAATGCAAGGGAAGCCTGTAGTAGTGTTGCCAGGCTGCTCTGTTGTTGATTTGATAGCACATGAACCAACATAACAAGTAATCATTACTGTGCTTTTAATTACAGCTTCCCTCTGTCACAGATTTACCAGTTTTTCAAAAGCATACTTCTAGTTGTCCTGGCTAGTATTAAAACCATGTACAACTGTGCATTCTGTATAAGGTACAGATATGCAAAGCTACAGTAATTAAGCAAAGATGCAGCTATGAAAAGAAACAAACATATGCTCACCTCTTTGCGCAGTCTCTCCAGAAGGTCTTTTGAAGCATGATGCAGGAAAAACTTTTTTGAAATCTTAAGGCACTCAGCTCCATTGCTGACCACACACAAATTTGGCTGATCCTCAAAGAGAAAGTCCAAGAGCCCCTTACATGCAGGAAAATAAAACCAAGCAAAAAGTATTAAAACCTAATACTGATTTTCTAAGCAGTTCTACAGCCATGCTCTTTACACTCTGACCTTGTAAATTCCCCTGCCACTGCTGTACCTGACCCACTTAATGGTTGTCTACACTGTTCTCTTATTTGTAACAATATTTGTATTACACTGCAGTAAAAGCTTAGAGGCCTTGGGCAATGTGGAGCTTAATAAAATCTACCAGGAGAAATTCTGGGCCCTGGGAAGTCAATGGGAGCTTTGCCACGGATCTGATCTGGTGAGAAGTCATGTCACCTCTGCAATGGTGTGTTGAGGATTGTCACACAGAAATATATTTCACCAGAATGCACTGGGGAATCTATTACCAGCTTAACACAGTAAGTTTAAGAGACAAAAATCAGAGTTCAAACAGGCCATCAAATGTACAGTGCAAGATTGTTCTAGGAGAGTTTTAGTAGCATCTGGTTAACGGCTGACCTGAATAAGAACCTAACTGAAATGATCACATCCACATGTTTGGAGAAGCAATTAAAGGAAAGCATTTTTTGCCAGTACTTTTCATATACCACCATGTAGCGATAATCTTGGACTGCTCAAAGAACCAGTTCAATTAGAGACACACAATTAGTTACTGTGCACTTTACACATTTTAAATACATTTAGTTGCTTGGGTAGGGAACAAAGTTGTAACCACCGTCTTCTGACTCAGAGGCTAGAAATAAATGTCACAGAATGGAGCAATTCTGCTGAGAAAGTAGGTCTGGGGCAGCATGGAACCCCGGGTGTTGCCCCGCACACCGCGAGTCTGAGGCAATGGGGGACACCAGCTGTCTCTCTCCCCAGCCAGCCCTGCAGAGCCAGCAGAGCAGGGAGGCACTTTTCTCCACTGACCCAGCCCCATAGAGTGGGACTGGAGCAGCTGGGAAAGCCAGGATTTCCCCCACCCAGTTAACTGATAAATCAGAATGACATATTTCTTTAAATACACAAAACCCTTAAATACTGCAACCCATGGCTGTGCCACATGCATTTTTGAATGGCACTGAAGGTACCAGCCATCTTTCTGGGCAGCTTTCCATATGAAATACTCACAAATACAGATCCTTGCAGCAAGGTGTCTACAGCAATGATCATAGGAGTCACCATGCTGCTTCCTGACAACGATTTACAAACAGTAAAAATAAAATTAAAAAAAGGAGAGAGAAAACCATTAGCTTAATGTTCATTAGGATCTGATAGTCATTTTGCATTATCATTTTGGATCTCTAAAATATGTACTGCTTCTTAATTTCCTTTTGATAAATACATGTTATTAGCTGGATCTTTGGTTAAACCAGCCTCTCACTGAGCACCCTTTCACCTCTCTGAATCCATGGCTTGAATTGGCCCCTTGAAAAAGTGAGAACAGCCACCTGGCTGCCTTGTGACAGCCACAGAATTTATTAATTCTTATGACATTTGCTAATTGCCTGGGATTCCAAGGAGAAACAAGTCTCAATCTGCCTCCCAGAGCAAATCAAGATAACACCACAACTGAAATGCCAATATTCTGAGGTAAAGTAGGTAAAAGCAGGTAAAACATGAGGTTTCTCTGGAACTGTAATAGTCATAATGGGAAACTTAGAGAAAAATCTTCAACCTAAAGAGGGTCCAAGACTTGTGTCTAGCAGGAA